CAGCCATGTTTCAGTCGCTTTGATGCAACAGGCCTTTTCAACATTTTTTGGCCACAGGTAACCTTTCAGATATGTCTGGCACATGGTTCTACTCCCAGCCATGTTTCAGTCGCTTTGATGCAACAGGCCTTTTCAACATTTTTTGGCCACAGGTAACCTTTCAGATATGTCTGGCACATGGTTCTACTCCCAGCCATGTTTCAGTCGCTTTGATGCAACAGGCCTTTTCAACATTTTTCGGCCACAGGTAACCTTTCAGATATGTCTGGCACATGGTTCTACTCCCAGCCATGTTTCAGTCGCTTTGATGCAACAGGCCTTTTCAACATTTTTTGGCCACAGGTAACCTTTCAGATATGTCTGGCACATGGTTCTACTCCCGGCCATGTTTCAGTCGCTTTGATGCAACAGGCCTTTTCAACATTTTTTGGCCACAGGTAACCTTTCAGATATGTCTGGCACATGGTTCTACTCCCGGCCATGTTTCAGTCGCTTTGATGCAACAGGCCTTTTCAACATTTTTGGCCACAGGTAACCTTTCAGATATGTCTGGCACATGGTTCTACTCCCAGCCATGTTTCAGTCGCTTTGATGCAACAGGCCTTTTCAACATTTTTTGGCCACAGGTAACCTTTCAGATATGTCTGGCACATGGTTCTACACCCAGCCATGTTTCAGTCGCTTTGATGCAACAGGCCTTTTCAACATTTTTTGGCCACAGGTAACCTTTCAGATATGTCTGGCACATGGTTCTACTCCCGGCCATGTTTCAGTCGCTTTGATGCAACAGGCCTTTTCAACATTTTTTGGCCACAGGTAACCTTTCAGATATGTCTGGCACATGGTTCTACTCCCGGCCATGTTTCAGTCGCTTTGATGCAACAGGCCTTTTCAACATTTTTTGGCCACAGGTAACCTTTCAGATATGTCTGGCACATGGTTCTACTCCCGGCCATGTTTCAGTCGCTTTGATGCAACAGGCCTTTTCAACATTTTTTGGCCACAGGTAACCTTTCAGATATGTCTGGCACATGGTTCTACTCCCAGCCATGTTTCAGTCGCTTTGATGCAACAGGCCTTTTCAACATTTTTTGGCCACAGGTAACCTTTCAGATATGTCTGGCACATGGTTCTACTCCCAGCCATGTTTCAGTCGCTTTGATGCAACAGGCCTTTTCAACATTTTTTGGCCACAGGTAACCTTTCAGATATGTCTGGCACATGGTTCTACTCCCAGCCATGTTTCAGTCGCTTTGATGCAACAGGCCTTTTCAACATTTTTTTGGCCACAGGTAACCTTTCAGATATGTCTGGCACATGGTTCTACTCCCAGCCATGTTTCAGTCGCTTTGATGCAACAGGCCTTTTCAACATTTTTTGGCCACAGGTAACCTTTCAGATATGTCTGGCACATGGTTCTACTCCCAGCCATGTTTCAGTCGCTTTGATGCAACAGGCCTTTTCAACATTTTTTGGCCACAGGTAACCTTTCAGATATGTCTGGCACATGGTTCTACTCCCAGCCATGTTTCAGTCACTTTGATGCAACAGGCCTTTTCAACATTTTTTGGCCACAGGTAACCTTTCAGATATGTCTGGCACATGGTTCTACTCCCAGCCATGTTTCAGTCGCTTTGATGCAACAGGCCTTTTCAACATTTTTTGGCCACAGGTAACCTTTCAGATATGTCTGGCACATGGTTCTACTCCCAGCCATGTTTCAGTCGCTTTGATGCAACAGGCCTTTTCAACATTTTTTGGCCACAGGTAACCCCAGAAAAAACGTTTGATGTAAAATCACAGAACACTTCAGACTTTCTCCAAAGCCATCAATAAACAGCCCGCATATGCAAGAAATGTGAGAAGCAATCTGATTGGCTGGTGCAAAAAACGTGCCAGCCAATATCAAGCCTTTTATTACACAGTCTGCCGTTCGGCAAAGTCATCCTTCTGGCTACTCTGCACTGGGCCGATATCGTCTACAGAGGGTTAAGTTACTAGGTAACTGTCAGGGCCCCAACATAAATGTTTTATATAGTTGAATGTGTGCTTCTGGGATGTTGACCTCTTTTATTCTCATCCCTGAGGTGCCAATCCTGCAGACTGTAACTCTGGAGGGCACAGGCTACCCACCTACCAGCAATAAACACAATAAGAATCAGCAGAGAGAGAGAGAGAGAGAGAGAGACAAACCAGGAGTGACTTACTGATGACTGTTTGTGTCTGTTGACAAACGGGGTTCCCTCAAACAGATTATCTTCATACCCTTCATTCTGCTCCTGCAGAAACTCCCTGAGGTCTTGTTTTCTCTTCAGTGTACCCTTGCCCCCACGTATTGGGTCTCCCTTCTGTCGACCTGAAACACATCCAGTGACCAGTGAGGTGACACATGAGATCCCAATGGCTGACAGACTGAAGCCTGATTTAGACAAGCTGGTATTCTAGACCCTGCCCACTGTCTGGACATAACAGGTTCCTATACTAGACCCTGCCGCCTGGACATAACAGGTTCCTATACTAGACGCTGCCCACTGTATGGACATAACAGGTTCCTATACTAGACCCTGCCGTCTGGACATAACAGGTTCCTATACTAGACCCTGCCGCCTGGACATAACAGGTTCCTATACTAGACCCTGCCGCCTGGACATAACAGGTTCCTATACTAGACCCTGCCGCCTGGACATAACAGGTTCCTATACTAGACGCTGCCGCCTGGACATAACAGGTTCCTATACTAGACCCTGCCGTCTGGACATAACAGGTTCCTATACTAGACCCTGCCCACTGTCTGGACATAACAGGTTCCTATACTAGACCCTGCCGTCTGGACATAACAGGTTCCTATACTAGACCCTGCCCACTGTCTGGACATAACAGGTTCCTATACTAGACCCTGCCGCCTGGACATAACAGGTTCCTATACCAGATCCTGCCCACTGTCTGGACATAACAGGTTCCTATACTAGACCCTGCCGCCTGGACATAACAGGTTCCTATACTAGACCTGCCGCCTGGACATAACAGGTTCCTATACTAGACCCTGCCGCCTGGACATAACAGGTTCCTATACTAGACCCTGCTGCCTGGACATAACAGGTTCCTATACCAGACCCTGCCCACTGTATGGACATAACAGGTTCCTATACTAGACCCTGCCGTCTGGACATAACAGGTTCCTATACTAGACCCTGCCCACTGTCTGGACATAACAGGTTCCTATACTAGACCCTGCCGTCTGGACATAACAGGTTCCTATACTAGACCCTGCCGTCTGGACATAACAGGTTCCTATACTAGACCCTGCCGCTTGGACATAACAGGTTCCTATACCAGATCCTGCCCACTGTCTGGACATAACAGGTTCCTATACTAGACCCTGCCGTCTGGACATAACAGGTTCCTATACTAGACCCTGCCGCCTGGACATAACAGGTTCCTATACTAGACCTGCCGCCTGGACATAACAGGTTCCTATACTAGACCCTGCCGCCTGGACATAACAGGTTCCTATACTAGACCCTGCCGCCTGGACATAACAGGTTCCTATACTAGACCCTGCCCACTGTCCTTACATAACAGGTTCCTATACTAGACCCTGCCGCCTGGACATAACAGGTTCCTATACTAGACCCTGCCGTCTGGACATAACAGGTTCCTATACCAGACCCTGCCGCCTGGACATAACAGGTTCCTATACCAGACCCTGCCGTCTGGACATAACAGGTTCCTATACCAGACCCTGCCGCCTGGACATAACAGGTTCCTATACTAGACCCTGCCGTCTGGACATAACAGGTTCCTATACTAGACCCTGCCGTCTGGACATAACAGGTTCCTATACTAGACCCTGCCGCCTGGACATAACAGGTTCCTATACTAGACCCTGCCGCCTGGACATAACAGGTTCCTATACTAGACCCTGCCGTATGGACATAACAGGTTCCTATACTAGACCCTGCCCACTGTCTAGACATAACAGGTTCCTATACTAGACCCTGCCCACTGTCTAGACATAACAGTTTCCTATACTAGACCCTACCCACTGTCTAGACATAACAGGTTCCTATACTAGACCCTGCCGCCTGGACATAACAGGTTCCTATACCAGACCCTGCCCACTGTATGGAAAAAACAGGTTCCTATACTAGACCCTGCCGCCTGGACATAACAGGTTCCTATACTAGACCCTGCCGCCTGGACATAACAGGTTCCTATACTAGACCCTGCCGCCTGGACATAACAGGTTCCTATACTAGACGCTGCCCACTGTATGGACATAACAGGTTCCTATACTAGACCCTGCCGCCTGGACATAACAGGTTCCTATACCAGACCCTGCCGCCTGAACATAACAGGTTCCTATACTAGACCCTGCCGCCTGGACATAACAGGTTCCTATACTAGACCCTGCCCACTGTATGGACATAACAGGTTCCTATACTAGACCCTGCCGCCTGGACATAACAGGTTCCTATACTAGACCCTGCCGTCTGGACATAACAGGTTCCTATACCAGACCCTGCCCACTGTATGGACATAACAGGTTCCTATACTAGACCCTGCCCACTGTATGGACATAACAGGTTCCTATACTAGACCCTGCCGCCTGGACATAACAGGTTCCTATACTAGACCCTGCCCACTGTATGGACATAACAGGTTCCTATACTAGACCCTGCCGCCTGGACATAACAGGTTCCTATACTAGACCCTGCCGTCTGGACATAACAGGTTCCTATACCAGAAACTGCCCACTGTATGGACATAACAGGTTCCTATACTAGACCCTGCCGCCTGGACATAACAGGTTCCTATACTAGACCCTGCCGCCTGGACATAACAGGTTCATATACCAGACCCTGCCACCTGGACATAACAGGTTCCTATAGTAGACCCTGCCGTCTGGACATAACAGGATCCTATACCAGACCCTGCCCACTGTCTGGACATAACAGGTTCCTATACTAGACCCTGCCCCACTGTCTGGACATAACATACTAGGTGCCGTCTGGACATATTCCTATACTAGACCCTGCCGCCTGGACATAACAGGTTCCTATACTAGACCCTGCCGCCTGGACATAACAGGTTCTCATACTAGACCCTGCCGCCTGGACATAACAGGTTCCTATACTAGACCCTGCCGCCTGGACATAACAGGTTCCTATACTAGACCCTGCCGCCTGGACATAACAGGTTCCTATACTAGACCCTGCCGCCTGGACATAACAGGTTCCTATACTAGACCCTGCCGCCTGGACATAACAGTTTCCTATACTAGACCATGCCGCCTGGACATAACAGTTTCCTATACTAGACCCTGCCGCCTGGACATAACAGTTTCCTATACTAGACCATGCCGCCTGGACATAACAGTTTCCTATACTAGACCCTGCCGTATGGACATAACAGTTTCCTATACTAGACCCTGCCCACTGTATGGACATAACAGGTTCCTATACTAGACCCTGCCGCCTGGACATAACAGTTTCCTATACTAGACCCTGCCGCCTGGACATAACAGGTTCCTATACTAGACGCTGCCCACTGTATGGACATAACAGGTTCCTATACTAGACCCTGCCGCCTGGACATAACAGGTTCCTATACTAGACCCTGCCGCCTGGACATAACAGGTTCCTATACTAGACCCTGCCGCCTGGACATAACAGGTTCCTATACTAGACGCTGCCCACCGTCTGGACATAACAGTTTCCTATACTGGACCATGCAAACTGTCTGGACATAACAGGTTCTTTTACTGGACGGTCCCCACTGCCTAGTCACAGTGGGCTGCTACATTTGACAGTGCCCACTACCCAGACACAGCTGGCTGCTATACTGGACAGTGCCCACTCCCCAGACACAGCTGGCTGCTATACTGGACAGTGCCCACTCCCCAGACACAGCTGGCTGCTATACTGGACAGTGCCCACTCCCCAGACACAGCTGGCTGCTGTACTGGACAGTGCCCACTCCCCAGACACAGCTGGCTGCTGTACTGGACAGTGCCCACTTCCCAGACACAGCTAGCTGCTATACTAGACAGTGCCCACTCCCCAGACACAGCTGGCTGCTGTACTGGACAGTGCCCACTTCCCAGACACAGCTGGCTGCTGTACTGGACAGTGCACAGACACAGATGGCAACTATACTGGACAGTGCCCACTCCCCAGACACAGCTGGCGGCTGCACTGGACAGTGCTCACACCCCAGACACAGCTGGCAACTATTCTGGACAGTGCCCAATCCCCAGACACAGCTAGCAACTATACTGGACATTGCACAGACACAGCTGGCAACTATACTGGATAGTGCCCACTTCCCAGACACAGCTGGCTGCTATACTGGACAGTGCCCACTACCCAGACACAGCTGGCTGCTGTACTGCACAGTGCCCACTCCCCAGACACAGCTGGCTGCTATACTGGACAGTGCCCACTCCCCAGACACATCTGGCTGCTATACTGGACAGTGCCAACTCCCCAGACACAGCTGGCTGCTGTACTGGACAGTGCCCACTCCCCAGACACAGCTGGCTGCTGTACTGGACAGTGCCCACTTCCCAGACACAGCTGGCTGCTACACTGGACAGTGCCCACTCTGCTACACTGGACAGTGCCCACTCTCCAGACACAGCTGGCTGCTGTACTAGACAGTGCCCACTTCCCAGACACAGCTGGCTGCTGTACTGGACAGTGCACAGACACAGCTGGCAACTATACTGGACAGTGCTCACTCCCCAGACACAGCTGGCTGCTGTACTGGACAGTGCACAGACACAGCTGGCAACTATACTGGATAGTGCTCACTCCCCAGACACAGCTGGCTGCTGTACTGGACAGTGCCCACTCCCTAAACACAGCTGGCAACTATACTGGACAGTGCCCACTCCATAAACACAGGTGGCTGCTATACTGGACAGTGCCCACTCCCCAGCTGGCTGCTATACTGGACAGTGCCCACTTCCCAGACACAGCTGACTGCTGTACTGGACAGTGCACAGACACAGCTGGCAACTATACTGGACAGTGCCCACTCCCCAGACACAGCTGGCTGCTATACTGGACACTGCCTACTCCCCAGACACAGCTGGCTGCTGTACTGGACGGTGCAAAGACACAGCTGGCAACTATGCTGGACAGTGCCTACTACCATGTGATAGCTGGTCTTTTTATTCTTCCCTTTTACCAGCTGTAAACTCTGACCGGAAGTTCTGGTTGTTCATCCATTTCTACACTTTGGTCTTGTTCCAGAACTTGAGTTTTGCATAGACATCTGTTCTACAGACCTGGCTTATATTATGCAGACTGTTGGTCCCTAGCCTCTTGGGCAAATGCACTCCGACACAAAGGAAACTCACATAATTAGTCACATTGTATGACAGGCTTATGTTAGAGAAGCAGTGGGTCTATTCTTTCTTTCCCACCACAATAGGGCCCTGGAACCTACAAAGACCTCAGATGGCCCCTTAAAGCGCACATCTTTCACACAACAAGAGGGTGGAAGTCTGCAACTGACCTGCCTTGCCCTTCTGTTTCTGGCTGGTACTAGAGGCTTTGCTCGGCTTCTTGCTGCCTTTCACTTCCAGATACTGTCTGTAAAACTGCTGGCACTCCGTCTGTGATCGTGTGGAAACAATCAGCGAGACTTTGTGCCAGTAGCTGCTATCTGCCCCACTCACTTCTCTCAAGGCTCTGAAACAAATCAAACAGGCAATGAACACGGTCAAAGAACACAGGATATCATCTAGTTATTATGATGTGCCTCCCACACTTTGTCTAATCCTTTTGGTTGTGTTGTGCCTCCCACGCTTGGTCTTATCTTGTGTTTGTGGAGTGCCTCCCACACTTGGTCTCATCTTGTGGTTGTGGTGTGCCTTCCTTTCACACTTGGACTCATCATCTGATTGTGGTTTGAGTCCTACACTTAGTCTCATCTTCTGATTGTGGTTTGAGTCCTACACTTAGTCTCATCTTCTGGTTGTGGTTTGCCTTTCACACTTGGTCTCATCTTGTGTTTGTGGTGTGCCTCCCACACTTGGTCTCATCTTGTGGTTGTGGTGTGCCTTCCTTTCACACTTGGACTCATCATCTGATTGTGGTTTGAGTCCTACACTTAGTCTCATCTTCTGATTGTGGTTTGAGTCCTACACTTAGTCTCATCTTTTGGTTGTGGTTTGCCTTTCACACTTGGTCTCATCTTGTGTTTGTGGTGTGCCTCCCACACTTGGTCTCATCTTCTGGTTGTGGTGTGCCTCTCACACTTGGTCTCATCTTCTGGTTGTGGTGTGCCTTTCACACTTGGTCTCATCTTCTGGTTGTGGTGTGCCTTTCCCACTTGGTCTCATCTTCTGGTTGTGGTGTGCCTTTCACACTTGGTCTCATCTTCTGGTTGTGGTGTGCCTTTCACACTTGGTCTCATCTTCTGGTTGTGGTGTGCCTCCCACACTTGGTCTCATCTTCTGATTGTGGTGTGCCTCCCACACTTGGTCTCATCTTCTGGTTGTGGTGTGTCTCCCACACTTGGTCTCATCTTCTGATTGTGGTGTGCCTCCCACACTTGGTCTCATCTTCTGATTGTGGTGTGCCTCCCACACTTGGTCTAATCTTCTGATTGTGGTGTGCCTCCCACACTTGGTCTCATCTTCTGATTGTGGTGTGCCTCCCACACTTGGTCTCATCTTCTGATTGTGGTGTGCCTCCCACACTTGGTCACATCTTCTGATTGTGGTGTGCCTCCCACACTTGGTCTCATAATCCCACCAGTGTGTGACAGCATGCCAGCATTAGTTGCTGTCCCCTAATGTCACATAATCCCACCAGTGTGTGACAGCATGTCCACATTAATTGCTGCCCCATAATGTCACATAATCCCACCAGTGTGTGACAGCATGCCAGCATTAGTTGCTGTCCCCTAATGTCACATAATCCCACCAGTGTGTGACAGCATGCCAGCTTTAGTTGCTGTCCCATAATGTCATATAATCCCACCAGTGTGTGACAGCATGTCAGCATTAGTTGCTGTCCCCTAATGTCACATAATCCCACCAGTGTGTGACAGCATGTCCACATTAATTGCTGCCCCATAATGTCACATAATCCCACCAGTGTGTGACAGCATGCCAGCTTTAGTTGCTGTCCCATAATGTCACATAATCCTACCAGTGCTTGACAGCATGCCAGCATTAGTTGCTGTCCCATAATGTCACATAATCCCACTAGTGTGTGAGAGCATGTCAGCATTAGTTGCTGTCCCATAATGTCACATAATCCCACCAGTGTGTGACAGCATGCCAGCATTAGTTGCTGTCCCATAATGTCACATAATCCAACCAGTGTGTGACAGCATGTCAGCATTAGTTGCTGTCCCATAATCCCACCAGTGTGTGACAGCATGCCAGCATTAGTTGCTGTCCCATAATGTCACATAATCCAACCAGTGTGTGACAGCATGTCAGCATTAGTTGCTGTCCCATAATCCCACCAGTGTGTGACAGCATGTCAGCATTAGTTGCTGTCCCATAATCCCACCAGTGTGTGACAGCATGTCAGCATTAGTTACTGTCACATAATCCTACCAGTGTGTGACAGCATGCCAGTATTAATAGCTGTCCCATTATGTCATATAATCCTACCAGTGTGTGACAGCATGCCAGTATTAATAGCTGTCCCATTATGTCACATAATCCCACCAGTGTGTGAGAGCATGTCAGCATTAGTTGCTGTTGCATTATGTCACATAATCCTACCAGTGTGTGACAGCATGCCAGTATTAATAGCTGTCCCATTATGTCATATAATCCCACCAGTGTGTGTGTAACAGCATGCCAGCGTTTGATGTAAATGACCTAATAAACTTGATCTAACTGCTTAAAAAATTGAAGTAATTGACTTAAACATTTGATGAAACTGACTTAAACACTTGATGTAACTGGCTTAAACACTTGATGTAACTGACTTAAACACTTGATGTAACTGACCTATCAGTGAAACACATGATGTAACTATCTTTTTTAGTTAAACATATTATGTTATTAACTTTTCATTTAAACATGATTAACTGAAGGAGGGAGGGACATGCCATCAGAGAACATAAGCAAACAAAACCAGAATGAACACAACAGAAAAACAAATGCCAGGCCAATTGATAGAGGAGGAAGGGACATACCATCAGAGAACATAAGCAGACAAAACCAGAATGCACACAACAGAAAAACAAATGCCAGGTTAACCGATGAAGGAGGGAGGGACATGCCATCAGAGAACATTGGCAGACACACATTCAGCTCCAGATATAAGGGCATCCAGCTCAAACAGAAATTCCAGTTTTTGTGAGGCTGGCGTGGCCGGTCGTAACTATTGTTATAGAGTAGATTTATACACATATTGAACTACAGTTTAATTAATTTGCAACATGTGTGATTGAATGAATTGTTATTTTGAAGATAAATAAATGGACTATTAGAAAATATGTAGTTTTAAAATGATAATTCATTCAATAACACGCGTTGTAAATTAATTACTGTAGTTCATTTTGTGTATAAATCTACTGGATTACAAGTGTTACCACCAACAGGCCACAAGCCTCACAAACAAACGGGAATTCCCGTTTTAGCTGTATGGCCTTATATCTAGAGCTGGCCGTTGCAGACACAACCAACATATTATACCTGTGCAACAAAGCCTGCTCCTCCTGGCTCCAGGACACATCCCCTGCAGATGTCACATCCATGACCTTGCGCCGCTTGTTCGGCTTCCTCTCAACTATTGTGTTATTTCCTTCTTTGGCAGCATCATCATCAGCATCTAGCTTGCGTTTCCTGATTGTACAGACTTGCTTTCTCTTGGCTGCAGCTGGTGGCTCAATGAGACCCACGTCCACAGCTGACTGATTGCTTGTGCTCCTTTGACGAGGCTTAACGGCTTTCCCTAATGCTGCTGGTTTACCCTCTGCCTTCAAACATAATCTCTCAGCCTCAGCTAACGGCTGACTGCTGGTCTTATGATCAGATCTGACAGACTTCTGACCTGTAGGTGACTTTTTCTTTCCGGTCTGTTTTCTTGTTGTCTTTGCTACCTTTGTCTGTCTGTGACAGTGTGTGTTCTGAATGTCGGCTGAGCTAGAGTCAGCAGGTTCCTGTAATCTGCTGCCACTGTTGTCTGCCTGTAACTGCTTACTGGCTTGTGCTGCTCTGACAGGCCTGCTGCGTGACTTGTTGACACTGCTGTCAGCTGACTGTAGGACAGCGCTGTCAGAGTCCACACTGCTGCTAGTGCTTCTGTACTTCTGTCCTAACCTTACAGATTTCCTCAAAGTCTGACTGTAAGGGTCAGTATTCAGAAATGCTGTCGGTAGCTTGGTCAACTTCTGCGACTGTGTGACCACTTGGTGACTGCTGACATCAGCAGTCTCGTGACGAGACAGCACCACTGTGAGACTTTTATCACAGACAGGCCGTGAGTCTTTACTGTTTCTTTTTAACAAATGAGACTGACTTCCTGGCTCTATAGAGGTTTCTAAATCTTCACATGAGTCAGTTACCTGAAGTGACTGTTCACTGAGGTTGTTACTGTGAAGACATTTATTGCTCCTATTTGCAAGTGATTTCAACTTTGTATCTGTTCCTGCAGCTGCTTTCTTCTGTGTGCAGCTGGTGCCTTGTCTTGCGTCAACATCAACACTGCTCTGATGACCCTGGACACTTGGAGTCATCTTTCTACCAACCACCAATGTTTCTACTGACTCCTTGCTGCCAGCATCAGCTGCTTCAGGTGAAGGTTTGCCAACCAACAATGCTTTAGCTGACTTCTTCCTGCTGCCTGCATTAACTGCTTTAGATAAAGGTTTGCCTGCATCAGCTGCTTCAGGTGAAGGTTTGCCAACCAACAATGTTTTATCTGACTTCTTGCTGCCAGCATCAGCTGCTTCAGGTGAAGGTTTGCCAACCAACAATGTTTTAGCTGACTCCTTGCTGCCAGCATCAGCTGCTACAGGTGAGGGTTTGCCAACCAACAATGTTTTAGCTGACTTCTTGCTGCCTGCATCAGCTGCTACAGTTGAAAGTTTGCCAACCAACAATGTTTTAGCTGACTTCTTGCTGCCTGCATCAGCTGCTACAGTTGAAAGTTTGCCAACCAACAATGTTTTAGCTGACTTCTTGCTGCCTGCATCAGCTGCTACAGTTGAAAGTTTGCCAACCAACAATGTTTCTACTGACTCCTTGCTGCCTGCATCAGCTGCTACAGTTGAAAGTTTGCCAACCAACAATGTTTTAGCTGACTTCTTGCTGCTGCCCGCTGCTATAGACCAAGGTTCATCAACATGTCCCAGAACTGTCTGGTTGAGCTTACCGCCAAATAACTTGGATGAATCTACCTGCAAACTTGTAGACAGCAATGATTTGTACATCATCCTCAGGGAGCTCTGGGGACAAAAGTACATCATTAGATTAGAGAAAAGAGAGAAACAGCCAAGGCACAACACCACAAACACCAACAGGTGACCCACTGAAGTAGCTGTCACAAAGAGACACAAATATCAAGGTTTCTGATCCCTATGTCGGTTCCAGGGCCCAGTTAAGGAGCCACAAGAACAGACCCACTGTGCCCACCGCCACAACATGCATGTATTCATAGACGACTAATTAAGGGTTCGCTGATGCGTAGAGTATGTCTTTTATATGGATAAAATTATATTTAACATGCAATGGTGGTAGGGGAGTGTGCAGTTACTTGATCAATATGAGATGTGACACACTTGACAAGACAGGCAGGCATCATCAGAAGGATGTGACACACTTGACAAGACAGGCATCACCAGAAGGATGTGACACACTTGACAAGACAGGCATCACCAGTAAGATGTGACACACTTGACAAGACAGGCATCACCAGAAGGATGTGACACACTTGACAAGACAGGCAGGCAGGCATCACCAGTAGGATGTGACACACTTGACAAGACAGGCAGGCAGGGATCACCAGTAGGATGTGACACACTTGACAAGACAGGCAGGCATCACCAGAAGGATGTGACACACTTGACAAGACAGGCAGGCAGGCATCACCAGTAGGATGTGACACACTTGACAAGACAGCCAGGCATCACCAGAAGGATGTGACACACTTGACAAGAAAGGCATCGCCAGAAGGATGTGACACACTTGACAAGACAGGCAGGCATCACCAGAAGGCTGTGACACACTTGACAAGACAGCCAGGCATCACCAGAAGGATGTGACACACTTGACAAGACAGGCAGTCATCACCAGAAGAATGTGACACACTTGACAAGACAGGCAGGCATCACCAGAAGGATGGGACAGACAAGACAGGCAGGCATCCCCAGAAGGATGTGACACACTTGACAGGCAGGCAGGCATCACCAGAAGGATGTGACACACTTGACAAGACAGGCAGGCATCACCAGAAGGATGTGACAGACAAGACAGGCAGGCATCACCAGAAGGATGTGACAGACAAGACAGGCAGGCATCATAAGAAGGATGTGACAGACAAGACAGGCAGGCATCACCAGAAGGATGTGACAGACAAGACAAGCAGGCATCACCAGTAGGATGTGACACACTTGACAAGACAGCCAGGCATCACCAGTAGGATGTGACAGACTTGACAAGACAGCCAGGCATCACCAGAAGAATGTGACATACTTGACAAGACAGCCAGGCATCACCAGAAGGATGTGACACACTTGACAAGACAGGCAGGCATCATCAGAAGGATGTGACACACTTGACAAGACAGTCAGGCATCACCAGAAGGATGTGACACACTTGACAAGACAGGCAGGCATCACCAGAAGGATGTGACTGACAAGACAGGCAGGCATCACCAGAAGGCTGTGACACACTTGACAAGACAGCCAGGCATCACCAGAAGGATGTGACAGACAAGACAGGCAGGCATCACCAGAAGGCTGTGACACACTTGACAAGACAGCCAGGCATCACCAGAAGGCTGTGACACACTTGACAAGACAGCCAGGCATCACCAGAAGGCTGTGACACACTTGACAAGACAGCCAGGCATCACCAGAAGGATGTGACAGACAAGACAGGCAGGCATCACCAGAACTATGGGACAGACAAGACAGGCAGGCATCACCAGAAGGATGTGACACACTTTACAAGACAGGCAGACATCACCAGAAGGATGTGACACACTTGACAAGACAGCCAGGCATCACCAGAAGGATGTGACAGACAAGACAGGCAGGTATCACCAGTAGGATGTGACACACAATAAACAGTGGAATTTGAAACTCTACACAAGACAGTACAAATATGTAAAACTACACAACACCAACATTTGAATGTGAAACTACATAAAACAGCACCAACAATACACAGCACCAACAGTGGAATGTGAAACTCCATACAAGAGAGCACCAACAATACACAGCACCAACAGTGGAATGTGAAACTCCATACAAGAGAGCACCAACAATACACAGCACCAACAGTGGAATGTAAAACTCCATACAAGAGAGCACCAACAATACACAGCACCAACAGTGGAATGTGAAACTCCATACAAGAGAGCACCAACAATACACAGCACCAACAGTGGAATGTGAAACTCCATACAAGAGAGCACCAACAATACACAGCACCAACTGTGGAATGTAAAACTCAATACAAGAGAGCACCAACATGTAAAACTACATAACACCAACAGTGAAATGTGTAACTTCACACAACAGCACCAACATATGCAACTCTATACAACACATTTACATAAGACAGCACCAAGATATGAAACGAAACAAGACACAGCACCAAGCTATGAAACTTCAAGACAGCACCAACATGTGAAACTCTATACAAGACAGCACTAACATACAAAACCCTATACAAGACATCTACATAAGACAGCACTAACATTTCATACTAAACCAGACACAGCACCAAGATATGAAACTACAAAAAAGCACCAAGATATGAAACTACAAGAGAGCAACAACATATAAAACTGTAAACAACACCAACATTTGCAACTAAACAAGACACAGCACCAAGATATGAAACTAAACAAGACACATCACCAAGATATGAAACTAAACAAGACACAGCACCAAGATATAAAACTACAAGATAGCACCAAGATATGAAACTACAAGATGGCACCAAGATATGAAACTAAACATGACTCAGCACCAAGATATGAAACTAAACAAGACACAGCACCAAGATATGAAACTACAAGATATGAAACTAAACGTGACACAGCACCAAGGTATGAAACTAAACAAGACACATCACCAAGATATGAAACTAAACAAGACACAGCACCAAGATATGAAACTATACAAGACATAGCACCAAGATATGAAACTAAACAAGACACAGCACCAAGATATGAAACTAAACAAGACACAGCACCAAGATATGAAACTAAACATGACACAGCACCAAGATATGAAACTAAACAAGACACAGCACCAAGATATGAAACTAAACATGACACAGCACCAAGATATGAAACTAAACAAGACACAGCACCAAGATTTTAAACTATACAAGACAGCACCAACATATGAAACTCTATACAAGACAGCACTAACATACAAAACCCTACACAAGACATCTACATAAGACAGCACCAACATGTGATACTGTATACAAGATAGGACCAACATGTGAAACTCTACATAAGACAACACCAACATGTGATACAGTATACAAGATAGGACCAACATGTGAAACTTTACATAAGACAGCACCAACATGTGATACAGTATACAAGATAGGACCAACATGTGAAACTCTACATAAGACAACACCAACATGTGATACTGTATACAAGATAGGACCAACATGTGAAACTCTACATAAGACAGCACCAACATGTGATACAGTATACAAGATAGGACGAACATGTGAAACTTTACATAAGACAACACCAACATGTGATACAGTATACAAGATAGGACCAACATGTGAAACTTTACATAAGACAGCACCAACATGTGATACAGTATACAAGATAGGACCAACATGTGAAACTTTACATAAGACAACACCAACATGTGATACTGTATACAAGATAGGACCAACATGTGAAACTTTACATAAGACAACACCAACATGTGATACAGTATACAAGATAGGACCAACATGTGAAACTTTACATAAGACAACACCAACATGTGATACTGTATACAAGATAGGACCAACATGTGAAACTCTACATAAGACAGCACCAACATGTGATACAGTATACAAGATAGGACCAACATGTGAAACTTTACATAAGACAACACCAACATGTGATACTGTATACAAGATAGGACCAACATGTGAAACTTTACATAAGACAACACCAACATGTGATACTGTATACAAGATAGGACCAACATGTGAAACTTTACATAAGACAACACCAACATGTGATACTGTATACAAGATAGGACCAACATGTGAAACTCTACATAAGACAACACCAACATGTGATACAGTATACAAGATAGGACCAACATGTGAAACTTTACATAAGACAACACCAACATGTGATACTGTATACAAGATAGGACCAACATGTGAAACTTTACATAAGACAACACCAACATGTGATACTGTATACAAGATAGGACCAACATGTGAAACTTTACATAAGACAACACCAACATGTGATACTGTATACAAGATAGGACCAACATGTGAAACTTTACATAAGACAACACCAACATGTGATACTGTATACAAGATAGGACCAACATGTGAAACTTTACATAAGACAACACCAACATGTGATACAGTATACAAGATAGGACCAACATGTGAAACTTTACATAAGACAACACCAACATGTGATACAGTATACAAGATAGGATCAACATGTGAAACTCTACACAAGACAACACCAACATGTGATACTGTATACAAGATAGGACCAACATGTGAAACTCTACATAAGACAACACCAACATGTGATACAGTATACAAGATAGGACCAACATGTGAAACTCTACATAAGACAACACCAACATGTGATACAGTATACAAGATAGGACCAACATGTGAAACTTTACATAAGACAACACCAACATGTGATACAGTATACAAGATAGGACCAACATGTGAAACTCTACATAAGACAACACCAACATGTGATACAGTATACAAGATAGGACCAACATGTGAAACTTTACATAAGACAACACCAACATGTGATACAGTATACAAGATAGGACCAACATGTGAAACTTTACATAAGACAACACCAACATGTGATACTGTATACAAGATAGGACCAACATGTGAAACTTTACATAAGACAACACCAACAGTGATGACAACAAGAGAACTACAAGTCAAGCATAAACAAACCTTGGGTAACTGCAGCAACTGTGCCGTGGTGTTGTGCAAACTCCTCTTGGCACAGTCTGTCTCAAATGTCACCTCAATGTCACTACTGTTAGGCACCCTCCTGTAGCACTGACCAGTCCACCGAGCCAGTGGTGGCAGAGAAATGCGTCCACTTCTGGTCACAGTCACATCATCTGTAGACAGTTTCTGCTTCAAGAAACCAGCAGGTGTCCAAACTGGCAACATCACAAACAATATGTACTGTTGATACTCATGTAGCCTCAAGTATATTAAATCAAACATATACACAGGAATACATAACATGATTGATCCAAATGCAACATTCTGCAAATCAAATTTTACCCTTTCATAAATCAAAATTAGCTGCAGAAATACCTTCTTGAAGCATGGTAATAAAGATGAAATCTAATTACAGTTGTTGAACATTAACATTTTACTTTGCGCTGGTAACACCAATCATAGAATACTTATTTAAAACCCGGAGATGCTTATTAACAGCCTCATTTATAATCTGCTGATGCTGGAGGTAACTTTACTGACATACGTACCACTGAGTAACGATGATGTCTGCAACAGGTGCAACAGATTCACTCATAGCACCCACTATATGTTGATAGAAGACCTGGCAGCGCAGTGACTGTGGGCCCACAACAGATTCACTCATAACATCAACTATATGTTGATAGAAGACCTGGCAGCGCAGTGACTGTGGGCCCACAACAGATTCACTCATAACATCAACTATATGTTGATAGAGGACCAGACAGCACAGTGACTGTGGGCCCACAACAGATTCACTCATAGCACCCACTATATGTTGATAGAAGACCAGGCAGCACAGTGTCTGTGGACCCACAACAGATTCACTCATAACATCAACTATATGTTGATAGAGGACCAGGCAGCGCAGGTCTTTGGTCTGAATCAGCACCAGATGGGTTCACACACAAATTATCTTGGCCATCAGTTCAACACAGTAAAAAAATGGGTACCTGGAAACGTCCGGAGGAGTAAAGGCGGCAAGACTGATTCTGATGACATCACCCATCAAGTGCCAAAAGATTAAAAAAAATGTGCCTTGACATGAGAGAGATGTATGCTGGGTATGATACAGGACTCATGTTGATATTAGAACTAGATGTAGGTCAACATCATACCGTACATGCAACAGCATGTTTCAATTTAACATCATACCGTACATGCAACAACATGTTTCAATTCAACATCATACCGTACATGCAACAACATGTTTCAATTCAACATCATACCGTACATGCAACAGCATTTTTCAATTCAACATCATACCGTACATGCAACAACATGTTTCAATTCAACATCATACCGTACATGCAACAACATGTTTCAATTCAACATCATACCGTACATGCAACAACATGTTTCAATTCAACATCATACCGTACATGCAACAACATGTTTCAATTCAACATCATACCATACATGCAACAACATGTTTCAATTCAACATCATACCATACATGCAACAACATGTTTCAATTCAACATCATACCATACATGCAACAACATGTTTCAATTCAACATCATACCGTACATGCAACAACATGTTTCAATTCAACAACTGTCACTGTTTTATAATGATAGACCAAGAATATATTTGTGTCAAAGAGCTTGATTTACAAAAGGGTGAATGTGATTTACAACTGAATGTGATTTACAAAAGGGTGAATGTGATTTACAACTGAATGTGATTTACAACTGTATGTGATTTACAACTGAATGTGATTTACAAAAGGGTGAATGTGATTTACAACTGTATGTGATTTACAACTGAATGTGATTTTACAAAAGGGTGAATGTGATTTACAACTGAATGTGATCCACTCAGGATGCATCTGAGTGGCTGTTGCGTGCTGATTCGTGTGAGTTGTAACATTGTGGCAGGAGAACGTGCTGGAAATGGTGTTGTCGGGAGTCCACGAGAATGTTCGGTGACCTGTGTCAATATTTGGCACAATGTTGACTTAAGCCAGGAAACATCTGTCAATTGAGTCAATGTTGTGGCAAGTGTTGACTTAAGCCAGGAAACATCTGTCAATTGAGTCAATGTTGTGGCAAGTGTTGACTTAAGCCAGGAAACATCTGTCAATTGAGTCAATGTTGTGGCAAGTGTTGACTTAAGCCAGGAAACATCTGTCAATTGAGTCAATGTTGTGGCAAGTGTTGACTTAAGCCAGGAAACATCTGTCAATTGAGTCAATGTTGTGGCAAGTGTTGACTTAAGCCAGGAAACATCTGTCAATTGAGTCAATGTTGTGGCAAGTATTGACTTAAGCCAGGAAACATCTGTCAATTGAGTCAATGTTGTGGCAAGTGTTGACTTAAGCCAGGAAACATCTGTCAATTGAGTCAATGTTGTGGCAAGTGTTGACTTAAGCCAGGAAACATCTGTCAATTGAGTCAATGTTGTGGCAAGTGTTGACTTAAGCCAGGAAACTGTCAATTGAGTCAATGTTGTGGCAAGTGTTGACTTAAGCCAGGAAACTGTCAATTGAGTCAATGTTGTGGCAAGTGTTGACTTAAGCCAGGAAACTGTCAATTGAGTCAATGTTGTGGTAAGTGTTGACTTAAGCCAGGAAACAACTGTCAATTGAGTCAATATTGTGGCAAGTGTTGACTTAAGCCAGGAAACATCTGTCAATTGAGTCAATATTGTGGCAAGTGTTGACTTAAGCCAGGAAACTATCAATTGAGTCAATGTTGTGGCAAGTGTTGACTTAAGCCAGGAAACTGTCAATTGAGTCAATGTTGTGGCAAGTGTTGACTTAAGCCAGGAAACTATCAATTGAGTCAATGTTGTGGCAAGTGTTGACTTAAGCCAGGAAACATCTGTCAATTGAGTCAATGTTGTGGCAAGTGTTGACTTAAGCCAGGAAACATATGTCAATTGAGTCAATGTTGTGGCAAGTGTTGACTTAAGCCAGGAAACATCTGTCAATTGAGTCAATGTTGTGGCAAGTGTTGACTTAAGCCAGGAAACATCTGTCAATTGAGTCAATGTTGTGGCAAGTGTTGACTTAAGCCAGGAAACATCTGTCAATTGAGTCAATGTTGTGGCAAGTGTTGACTTAAGCCAGGAAACTGTCAATTGAGTCAATGTTGTGGCAAGTGTTGACTTAAGCCAGGAAACAACTGTCAATTGAGTCAATATTGTGGCAAGTGTTGACTTAAGCCAGGAAACAACTGTCAATTGAGTCAATGTTGTGGCAAGTGTTGACTTAAGCCAGGAAACTATCAATTGAGTCAATGTTGTGGCAAGTGTTGACTTAAGCCAGGAAACAGTCAATTGAGTCAATGTTGTGGCAAGTGTTAACTTAAGCCAGGAAACTGTCAATTGAGTCAATATTGTGGCAAGTGTTGACTTAAGCCAGGAAACAACTGTCAATTGAGTCAATATTGTGGCAAGTGTTGACTTAAGCCAGGAAACAACTGTCAATTGAGTCAATATTGTGGCAAGTGTTGACTTAAGCCAGGAAACAACTGTCAATTGAGTCAATATTGTGGCAAGTGTTGACTTAAGCCAGGAAACATCTGTCAATTGAGTCAATGTTGTGGCAAGTGTTGACTTAAGCCAGGAAACATCTGTCAATTGAGTCAATGTTGTGGCAAGTGTTGACTTAAGCCAGGAAACAACTGTCAATTGAGTCAATATTGTGGCAAGTGTTGACTTAAGCCAGGAAACATCTGTCAATTGAGTCAATGTTGTGGCAAGTGTTGACTTAAGCCAGGAAACATCTGTCAATTGAGTCAATGTTGTGGCAAGTGTTGACTTAAGCCAGGAAACATCTGTCAATTGAGTCAATGTTGTGGCAAGTGTTGACTTAAGCCAGGAAACATCTGTCAATTGAGTCAATGTTGTGGCAAGTGTTGACTTAAGCCAGGAAACTGTCAATTGAGTCAATGTTGTGGCAAGTGCAAAGTAGCTGGGCACGAGATGGGCCGTGGGAATTCACGAAGTATTAGCCAGTGTGGGCTTACTATCATGACTTGGGCGAGATAGCTGCTTGCGCGTGGAAGAAGAGTGGCATGCCTGACAGCGTGCACGGGCAGCTCACAAGCGGCAGGCAAAAGTATATACTGGGGTTGAGTGGACTGTTGAGCAGTGGCAATTGAGAGCTCCAACAGTTGAGTCCAGAACTTTCGAGTGAAGCGAAGGAAGGAGAGTCCAGTTGGCAAGTCAGGCCAAGTGAGCTGGACGACTCAAGAGATGCTGTTTTGAGTGACGACGCAGGGAAGCGGAATGATAACTAGTAAAACAAGACAGCGAAGATGCCAGTGATAGCTGTGTGCTGAAGGGAACTCAGAAGTCCTGCCGGTCATCGGTGTTCCTTTAACGAGGTGGCTGATGTGCTGTGTGCACATGCTGAAGAACGAGTACTGTGACGTTTGTAGTCAGCCGATGTGCCTGCTTCGTATAGAGCAGCAGAGGTCCAGTTGATAAGAAAAGATATCCTGTTCATCTGTACAGTGAGTCAGGAGTTGTAGGAGGCTGTAGACCTAGAAACTGTAGCGGTCGGCTCATGTGTAGTGGCGGCTAGTCAAGCTGTCGGGGAGAGTGACGCTATACCTAGGAAGTGAGCGAAGGGAGTGTTACATGTTAGCCAGTGCAGAGATCTGCATTACTTCGCTTACCTTGTTGTGTATGTGAGGGCCTGTGAATACCTTCTGTGATTGTAACAATAAATGTGCTTGTATGGCGGTCAGTACGTCATTGAGTTTTCCTGCGAGCTGTGTATGGAAGCATGAACTATACCCTTAGACACTAGACAGTGTGCTGGTTGCAAGTTAGCACACAACACTGGCTTAATGATGAATTTAGCATGCCAATCCGGCCTCAGCCAAACATATTTTTTTTTCACTCTTGCTGAGCACAAATAAAGACAACATGACAACAATGCAATGTTCTACAGCAGCAAAGGTGATTGATGTCCTTGCTGGAATGACAACAATGCAATGTTCTACAGCAGCAAAGGTGATTGATGTCCTTGCTGGAATGACAACAATGCAATGTTCTACAGCAGCAAAGGTGATTGATGTCCTTGCTGGAATGACAACAATGCAATGTTCTACAGCAGCAAAGGTGATTGATGTCCTTGCTGGAATGACAACAATGCAATGTTCTACAGCAGCAAAGGTGATTGATGTCCTTGCTGGAATGACAACAATGCAATGTTCTACAGCAGCAAAGGTGATTGATGTCCTTGCTGGAATGACAACAATGCAACGTTCTACAGCAGCAAAGGTGATTGATGTCCTTGCTGGAATGACAACAATGCAATGTTCTACAGCAGCAAAGGTGATTGATGTCCTTGCTGGAGTGACAACAATGCCATGTTCTACAGCAGCAAAGGTAATTGATGTCCTTGCTGGAATGACAACAATGCAATGTTCTACAGCAGCAAAGGTGACTGATGTCCTTGCTAGAATGACAACAATGCCATGTTCTACAGCAGCAAAGGTAATTGATGTCCTTGCTGGAATGACAACCATGCCATGTTCTACAGCAGCAAAGGTAATTGATGTCCTTGCTGGAATGACAACCATGCCATGTTCTACAGGTGCCTGAAAGCGTATTTAACAAAGATGCAGATGCATGAGAACATGTACACAGGACATGGACTGGTCATCATCATCATGTACCCTGTCAACTAATGCAGGCAGTCACAGGATAACCAGTATTCCAGGATCAGGCCAGTGCTCTTGTCTCATCCCATCCATGTGGTCACATCATCCAGCAGTTTATCAGACTGCCTTCCCCTGGCTGTTGTTCCGTCAATCTTGCCAGTTGTCAGCAAGTTTTCGGGCACAGAGAGAATGACTCAGCTGACACCTGTTCTACATGGAGACAAACTCTATGGGTGTGTCAGCGGCTACATGCTGCCTGCTGCTTCCTGGGAATGAATTCATGCTGACAAGATACTTGGATGTATCAAGACTGTAACTGTACTGAACATAAGACATTAACAATTGACACTTATAGAAGAAAACAATAATTACTGGAATCCTGGACACGGTCTAAAGTCTTCAGCTTGCGAGAGGGCACAGCTGGTGTTTTCTTCTTGCTGACGGTGGCCACTAACTTGGGGTTGTGTTGCAGCTTCTTGTGCTTGAGAGGGCTTGTTTCAGCAACAATAGAGATGCTGAAACCATCAACATGTTCTGGATATGAGTTGATACAACATTAGAACAACAGTGAACAGGTGAGACAGCGGTGAACAGGTGAGACAGCGGTGAATAGGTGAGACAGTGGTGAACAGGTGAGACAGCAGTGAATAGGTGAGACAGTGGTGAACATGTGAGAGTTGTGAACAGGTGAGACAGTGGTGAACATATGAGAAAGTGGTGAACATGTGTGACAATTGTGAACAGGTGAGACAGTGGTGAACAAGTAAGACAGTGGTGAACAGGTGAGACAGCGGTGAACAGGTGAGACAGTGGTGAACAGGTGAGACAGTGGTGAACAGGTGAGACAGTGGTGAACAGGTGAGACAGTGGTAAACGTGAGATAGTAGTGAAGAGGTGAGACAGTGGTGATCATGTAAGACAGTGGTGAAAAGGTGAGACAGTGGTGAACAGGTGAGACAGTGGTGAACAGGTGAGACAGCGGTGAACATGTGAAACAGTGATGAACAGGTGAGACAGCGGTGAACATGTGAGACAGCGGTGAACAGGTGAGACAGCGGTGAACATGTGAGACAGTGGTGATCATGTGAGACAGTGGTGAACATGTGAGACAGCAGTGAACATGTGAGACAGCAGTGAACAGGTGAGACAGTGGTGAACAGGTGAGACAGCGGTTAACAGGTGAGACAGCGGTGAACAGGTGAGACAGCGGTGAACAGGTGAGACAGCGGTGAACAGGTGAGACAGTGGTGAACAGGTGAGACAGTGGTAAACAGGTGAGACAGTGGTGAACAGGTGAGATAGTGGTGAATATATGACATAGCAGTGAACAGGTGAGACAGTGGTGAACAGGTGTGACAGCGGTGAACAGGTGAGACAGCGGTGGACAGGTGAGACAGTGGTGAACATGTGAGACAGTGGTGAATAGGTGAGACAGTGGTGAACAGGTGAGACATTGGTAAACGTGAGATAGTAGTGAACAGGTGAGACAGTGGTGATCATGTAAGACAGTGGTGAACAGGTGAGACAGTGGTGAACAGGTGAGACAGCGGTGAACAGGTTAGACAGCGGTGAACAGGTGAGACAGCGGTGAACAGGTGAGACAGCGGTGAACAGGTGAGATAGTGGTGATCATGTGAGACAGTGGTGAACATGTGAGACAGCGGTGAACAGGTGAGACAGTGGTGAACAGGTGAGACAGCTGTGAACAGGTGAGACAGCGGTGAACAGGTGAGACAGCGGTGAACAAGTGAGACAGTGGTGAACAGGTGAGACAGCGGGGAACAGGTGGGACAGTGGTGAAGAGGTGAGACAGTGGTGAACAGGTGAGATAGTGGTGAATATATGACATAGCAGTGAACAGGTGAGACAGTGGTGAACAGGTGTGACAGCGGTGAATAGGTGAGACAGTTGTGAACATGTGAGACAATGGTGAACATGTGAGACACTTGTGAACAGGTGAGACAGTGGTGAACATGTGAGATAGTGGTGAACAGGTAAGACAGTTGTGAACATGTGAGACAGTGGTGAACATGTGTGACAGTTGTGAACAGGTGAGGCAGTGGTGAACACGTGAGATAGTTATGAACATGTGTGACAGTTGTGATCATGTGAGACAGTGCTGAAAAGATGAGAGTGATGAACAGGTGAGACAGTGGTGAAAATGTGAGACAGATGTGAGACAGTGGTGATCAGGTGAGACAGTGGTGAAAATGTGAGACAGATGTGAACAGGTGAGACAGCGGTGAACAGGTGACAGTGGTGCAGAGGAACACAGTTGACACTCCAATAGATGACAGAGAGTAGACAGAGGAACACAGTGGACACTCCAATAGATGACAGAGAGTAGTCAGAGGATCACAGTGGGCACTCTAATAGATGACAGAGAGTAGACAGAGGAACACAGTGGACACTCCAATAGATGACAGAGAGTAGACAGAGGAACACAGTGGGCACTCTAATAGATGACAGAGAGTAGACAGAGGAACACAGTGGACACTCCAATAGATGACAGAGAGTAGACAGAGGAACACAGTGGGCACTCTAATAGATGACAGAAAGTAGACAGAGGAACACAGTGGGCACTCTAATAGATGACAGAAAGTAGACAGAGGAACACAGTGGACACTCCAATAGATGACAGAGAGTTGACAGAGGAACACAGTGGCACTCCAATAGATGACAGAGTAGATAGAGGAACACAGTGGACACTAATAGATAACAGAGAGTAGGCAGGAATACAGTGGACACTCCAACAGATAACAGAGAGTAGACAGAGGAACACAGTGGACACTCCAATAGATAACAGAGAGTAGACAGGAACACATTGAACACTCCAATAGATGACAGAGAGTAGACAGGAACACATTGAACACTCCAATAGATGACAGAGAGTAGACAGAGGAACACAGTAGACCCTCTAATAGATGACAGAGAGTAGACAGAGGAACACAGTGGACACTCCAATAGATGACAGAGAGTAGACAGAGGAACACAGTGGACACTCCAATAGATGACAGAGAGTAGACAGAGGAACACATTGGACACTAATAGATGACAGAGAGTAGACAGAGGAACACAGTGGACACTCCAATAGATAACAGAGAATAGACAGAGGAACACAGTGGACACTCCAATAGATGACAGAGAGTAGACAGGAACACAGTGGACACTCCAATAGATAACAGAGAGTAGACAGGAACACATTGAACACTCCAATAGATGACAGAGAGTAGACAGGAACACATTGAACACTCTAACAGATGACAGAGAGTAGACAGAGGAACACAGTGGACACTCCAATAGATGACAGAGAGTAGACAGAGGAACACAGTGGGCACTCCAATAGATGACAGAGAGTAGACAGAGGAACACAGTGGACAAGCCAATAGATGACAGAGAGTAGACAGAGGAACACAGTGGACACTCCAATAGATGACAGAGAGTAGACAGAGGAACACAGTGGACACTCCAATAGATGACAGAGAGTAGACAGAGGAACAAAGTGGGCACTCTAATAGATGACAGACAGCAGTCAGAGGAACACACTGGACACTCCAAGTGAAGAGAGAGAGGGTAGACAGAAGAACACAGTGGACATTCCAATAGAAGAGAGAGAGAGGGTAGACAAAGAACACAGTGGACATTCCAATAGAAGAGAGAGAGAGGGTAGACAGAAGAACACAGTGGACATTCCAATAGAAGAGAGAGAGAGGGTAGACAGAAGAACACAGTGGACACTCCAATAGAAGACAGAGCAGAGAGAGGGTAGACAGTGGACACTCCAATAGAAGACAAAGGAACACATTGGACAAACAATACCTGTCCTCCAGCCGACTGTAAAAATCCTTGATCACCTGTTTCCAGTTGTGGGGGAAACCATTTGTGAATAATTTAGCAACACCTTTGGGAAAACCTGTTCAAAAAAACATCACAAACATGAGCCTGCATCACACAAAATATGCTGGGCACGGCTGTCAGGGAACAAAGGTGAATGTGACAGGCTCACATAAAACACAAACATTACAGTGTCAGATGTTTTCTGGAGTTCAGTCACAAACACAAGTGGAAGACCTGACTATACTGCCCCTGAATGAGATAAGCAACGAGGAGAGTTGAGCACAACATTCTTCAGGACAGCATTGATCTACTACAGGATAACAGGCTGCACAAGAAATGTAATAATAAGTCTGTGCAGGATGTCAGTCAAGATGTATCCTGTTTTAATGTACCCTCTAACTCTATCACCCTAAAATTCTATCAGTATCTAAGTCTATCCACCTCCATCACCCTACAAATCTATCAGTCTCTAAGTCTATCCACCTCCATTACCAAACAAATCTATCAGTCTCTAAGTCTATCCACCTCCATCACCCTACAAATCTATCAGTCTCTAAGTCTATCCACCTCCCCCACCCTACAAATCTTTCAGTCTCTAAGTCTATCCACCTCCATCACCCTACAAATCTATCAGTCTCTAAGTCTATCCACCTCCATCACCCTACAAATCTATCAGTCTCTAAGTCTATCCACCTCCATTACCATACAAATCTATCAGTCTCTTAGTCTATCCACCTCCATCACGCTTAAAATCTATCAGTCTCTATCCACCTCCATCACCCTACAAATCTATCAGTCTCTAAGTCTATCCACCTCCATCACCCTACAAATCTGGTAATCTTAGTTTCAGCTTCATAGCAAACGGGTCATCCTATAGTTGCTCCGCTCCTCTGCCAACGAAAAACACACAAAAAGTTTATCACAGTTCAAATTAAATCCGCAGCTCACAGTATCACACCATGCACTCAACTCAGAAGCTGGGCAATGAAACTATATCCTTCCAGTCTACAAATGGAGCAAAAATGCAACGACCACCATCTGGTAGAAATAACAAAAATTGCTATGGCTACAAAAAAAGTGGCCGTGCCTAGTGTCCATTTTGACTTGAAGCATTAATTATGTGAGGGTTAATAAACGGTCACCAAAGCAGTACCCTCACTATTAGCTGGGGAAGGGACTTAGGACATTACATCCACCAGCAAGTGTGGCCCCTACAATGATCTGACTGCCTACGTTAACGACTGTTCACCCAACAGCCATGCAGTTCTTTGGCACGAAGAAGACACCTTGAATTTGGGTTTCGGACTGCCAACTCCCTACAAGATGTTATGTTATTTTCTGTTATCACAATCGACGTAACTGCACATTGGGCATTCCCAAGTGTGCTCAGTCCTCCGATGCAGCAGCCACTCCAAAGTACTTCCACTAATTGTTTCCATGAGAAGCTGGTTATATTGTCTCCTTTCTCGGCCTCGAAGACGGCAAAGACGTGCATCACCATGCTTAACTCCCATGTCACGCAAACGTGCTAGTGTCAGGGATTCCTCATTATCCACTAGCCCAGTCCGTACAGCGTTGACGATATCTGCTCTGTCCATGGTTCCTCCCACATGCCTTAGTGCAGTGCTTGCCAGTTGGTCTGCTCGCTCATTTCCCTTTACGTCCACATGACCTGGTGTGTAGATCCAGGTTACGGAGGTTAAGTGCGATTTCCGAATGCTTTCTACCCATTCAGAGAGCATACCGCCTGTTGCTATCTTCTGAAGCATATTCATTGAGTCTGAGACAATTACTGCCTGTGTGGCGGTTTGCTCAGATACCCATGCTAAAGCTCTAGAAGCAGCGGCTACTTCCATGGTCATGCTTGACGTATTTGTCTGGTAGGCGCCGCTGTCCTCATGTATTGTTTTCCCCCTTCTTTGCGCTGTGTTTGCCTATGCTGACCTTGATCCGTGCTTCACGGATCCATCTGTGTAGATGATGATATCTTCTGGGTCTGAATGCTGATCTAGCAGTTCCCTTACTTCTGTGTCTACGGCCACAGGAATTTGATTTTGGCAGTATCTTCCGAGTGTGATGACAACCTTAGAGATGCCACCCTACAAATCTATCAGTCTCTAAGTCCATCCACTTCCATCACGCTACAAATCTTTCAGTCTCTAAGTCTATCCACCTCCATCACCTTACAAATCTTTCAGTCTCTAAGTCTATCCACCTCCATCACCTTACAAATCTTTCAGTCTCTAAGTCTATCCACCTCCATCACCTCACAAATCTTTCAGTCTCTAAGTCTATCCACCTCCATCACCTCACAAATCTTTCAGGCTCTAAGTCTATCCACCTCCATCACCCTACAAATCTATCAGTCTCTCCACCCCCATCACCCTACAAATCTATCAGTCTCTAAGTCTATCCACCTCCATCACCCTACAAATCTTTCAGTCTCCTGGTACCATGCCTTCTGCTATAATTTGTCTAAGATATTCTGAGAATGATATATACACACAGCACAGATATATACACACAGCATAGATATATACACACAGCACACATATATACACACAGCACAGATATATACACACAACACAGATACACATACACCACAGATACATACATACAAAAAAAAAACACACACACACGCACGCACACACACACACTCACACAAACAGCCCAGATATGTGCATACAGCACAGATACATACACAAACAGCCCAGATATATGCATACAGCACAGATACATACACAAACAGCCCAGATATATGCATACAGCACAGATACATTCACAAACATAATAGACAGAGAGAACACATATTCCTCTTGATAGCCCAGATAGCTAAACTAAAGAGTTTCACAGTGCTACTGACCGTTGTCGATGGTACAATACTTGTTGATCTGGCCCTCAAGTCTGTACATGGACCCAGTGGCTGTGACAACAACTGTTGGTCTCACTGCCTCCACGATGGCTGCACTGTGCCAGTAGTCATCCATGCCTCTGGAGGACCATCAAACAATCAGCAGATGCTTGACCACATTTTCTACCCACACATTTCTCTTTAACCAATGGATCAACAGCAGGGCACAATCCTAGTCACCCATAGGTGCCCCGTTCTACTTCTAACTCAAGACTATGTCCGAAAAATGTCAGCATAGTGCACAAACTTCGTAGCACCGGCAAGGATCCTTAAATACTTTGAGCAGATTTTTAACTCCAAAATTTTGCCGGGCAGCGCTGTTAGGCTACTCTTTTCGATTTCCAACTGCCAAGGGACTTTTTATGTGCACAACAATACTCGGGCGTCTGATCTTACTACCCAGATACCAGGGACAATTACTAGAAGTCCCTGTGAAAAAATCCCAGCCTTTACCAGGGCTTGAACCTGGGACCTCCTGCACTCTAGGCAGATGCCATGCCTCAAGACCATGCAGCCCCCTATTATACTCAGCCTACCCAAACATGGTCTCTTCAGACCATTCTTCTGAGCACTCAGCGGCTGTCAACTCCATGCAATGTTCTGTTTATTCACTACCAGACTTTGGTCTTGTCCCAGCACTTTGCATGCACTTCCATTTTATTAACTGGCTTACTTGTGTGCAGACTACTGGTTGCTTGCATCTTAGACAGATGCACTCCAGCTTCTAATGAAACACCCATAATCTAGGACACGCTTGCTAGGGAAGCTGTGAGTAGACTCTCCCCTCCCAATGGGACCCCAGAGCCTACACTAGGATATGCAATCTCCAAAACTGTACTGATGTGTGGTATCCCTGTATTCTCCTGACTTGTGTTATCTCAGTGCTCAACTGCCAGCTGCTTTGCCCATACTTCATGGGTGTGTCTTCTTCTTCTTCTGCCTTTCTATCCCCCAATGGAGCATAGGCCCTCCACCAACTTACGCCAAGTCGTTCTATCCTTCGCTATTGCATGGAGCTCTCCCCATGTCCTCCCCATCTTTCTAACTTCATTCTCCAGTTCTCTTCTCCATGTGTTTTTTGGCCTTCCTTTATTCCTATGCCCCTGTGGTTTCCAATGCAAAAAACATTCTAGTTATACTGTTCTCCGGTTTTCTTAATGCGTGTCATATCAAACGCCAGGGTGTTTTCCTCACCTCTTGGTCCATTGGAGCTTGCTTAGTTCTCGCCCAAAGCTCTACATTAGTTATTCTATCATACCATTTAATTCCCTCTATTCTGCGCAGGCACCAGTTAATGAATGTCTGTAGTTTATTAGTAACTGCCTTAGTTGTTCTCCATGTTTCCGCTCCATACAAGTGTACTGATTTGACATTAAAATTAAAAATTTTAAGTTTATTATTTCTTTTAATTTCTTTTGACCTCCACAAATTCCCTAGTGCTATGAAAGCTCCTCTTGCCTTTTGTATTCTTATTTTTAATATCTCTATCAGTTCCTCCATCTTTATCTACATTACTGCCCAAACAGGTGTACGACTCCACATCTTTTAGTGGGTTGCCATTAAGAGAAACCACATTACTATTTGCCTGATGTATTCTCATTATCTTTGTCTTTCCTTTATGGATTTTCAGACCAAGCTGCTTTGATCTCGCATCAAGTATATTTAATTTATCTTGTATCTGATTCCGCCAATGGGACAGAAGAGAAAAATTACCAGCGAAGTCCAGATCCTCTGGCTATTTTGTAGGGGTCCACTGAATTCCATTCTTGGTGTTAGCAGTTACTGTCTTTATAATCCAGTCTATAGCCAGTAAAAATAGGAGAGGCGACAAAAGTCATCCCTGTTTTTATTTCAAATGTATCTGTTAGCTTTCCCTCATAAAGAACTCGACATTTCAAATCTGTATATATCGCCTTTACTAAGTTAATAATTTTCTGTGGGATTCCATAGTGCCCCATCAATTTCCAGAGAGATTCCCTATCAATGCTGTCAAATGCTTTTTCATAGTCTATGATTCCAAAGTAAAGTGGTGAGTTCAGTTCAATGCTTTGCTCTATTATAATACGTAATGTGACTATCTGGTCAGTACAGGATCTGTTTGGTCGAAAACCTGCCTGTTCATCTCTTAGCTTTTTATCAATAGCATCTTTTAATCTTTCTAAAATAATTCTACTTAATATTTTTCCAGGAACTGACAGCAACATAATTCCTCTATAGTTTTCACACTCCTGTAGATCACCTTTTTTGGGAAGTTTCACAAGATATAATTCTCTCCAGTCTGCTGGTATTTCTTCAGTCTCCCAGACTTTACTAAATAATCTATGTAGCAATTCTGTTGATGTGTTTATGTTGGCCCTGATGGCTTCAGCTGGGATACCATCTGGACCTGCCTCCTTTCCTTCCTTGAGAAGATTTATAGCTTTTCTAATTTCCTCTTCAGATGGTATTTCACAGTTGATATCCAGTTCCATTTCTAAAGGCTGGATATCTGGGGGAACCTCTGGGCCTGGTCTATTTAGAAGCATTTCAAAATATTCAACCCATCTGTCCATTTGATCTTTAGTGTTGGTAAGTACCTTTCCTTGACTATTTTTGATCTTTAGTGTTGGTAAGTACCTTACCTTGACTATATTTGATCTTTAGTGTTGGTAAGTACCTTACCTTGACTATATTTGATCTTTAGTGTTGGTAAGTACCTTTCCTTGACTATTTTTGATCTTTAGTGTTGGTAAGTACCTTTCCTTGACTATTTTTGATCTTTAGTGTTGGTAAGTACCTTTCCTTGACTATATTTGATCTTTAGTGTTAGTAAGTACCTTTCCTTGACTATTTTTGATTGATCCAGTTGGTTGATTATATTTACCTACTAATTTTCTTGTGTTAACGTAAAGTTCTCTGAGGTTTCCTTTTGCTGCTGCTGTCTCCGCTTCTTGTGCTAGATTATTTAAATATTTCACTTTATCTGCCCTTATACGCCTCCTAACTTCCTTATTGGCTTCTGAGTATTTATCCTGAGTTCTAGCTTTAGGCGGTCTAGTTTTGCTATTGTTGAAGTCTGCCTTTCTGCTTTTCCTTTCTTCAATCAATTTAATGGTTTCTGGTGTTATCCACACTTTATGTTTTTGTTCTTATTTGCCAAGAACTTCTACACAAGATTCTTCCAGATTCCTTTGATCTGATCCCAGCAGACTTCAGTGCTGACATCTTCAGCTAACTGCTGCAACACCTGGTACTTATTAGAGACTTACTGAAAATTGTTCCTTAACTTCTTTATCCCTAAGTAACCTACATTATACTGGTTTCTATGATTATAAGATGTTTTATATCTTGGAGTTTCAACTTGATTTTACTTACCACCAGAAAATGGTCAGTAAATACATTGGCATCTATGAAAGCTCTAACATTGTAAAGGGGTGATCTAAACTTTTTGTTAACACATAGGTGATCAATTCGATTAGTTGTCTTATTGTCTGGTGATTCCCACGTTGCCCTGTGTATTCTTTTATGGGGAGAAATACTTCCACCAATAACATACTGGTTTCTAATTCTCCATTTTCATTCATTACTCCTAGACCATGTCTTCCCATAACCTCTTCCTAACCTGTGTTATCTGATCCTATCTTAGCGTCCAGGTCACCCATCAGAGTTTCTTTATTGCTATATCCTTCATTATTTATATTTTGAAGCTGCATGAAACATTCTTCCTTAACAGATGCATCTTCATTATTTGTTGGTGCGTAACTGACATGTTCACCTTCTGTTTTATGATGCTCTTATTATTATGGGACTCACAACTTCCAATTCTATAAGTGCCCTGTCTGCTTCTTTGGATAGCATCAGAGCCACTCCTTCTCTGTGGGGCGAATTTTCCAGTGTGTCCTAAGAACAAAATAGTTTCCCCTGAATTTAGAACACTTTCCCCGCCCTAGTCCATCCAGTTTCACATAACCCTCAAATATCAATTCTATCATGTTTTATTTCCTTTACTACTTCCATTGTTCTCCCTATATCATAGAGTTCTAACATTCCAGGTGCCAATTCTGGAGGTTTTCCTAGCTGAGAGGAGGTACTTCAACGATCGGGACTCCTTACGGCTTTCTCCACACCGTGTCATACCTCTTCTATTTGAAGAGCCAACCCTCATCTTGGTTGGCTGGGTTTTACTTGCTTATTTTTTTTGTGGCTATGGTTTTTACTGGATGAGGTAGCCAACCTCAAGCCCAACCCTACCCTTAGTCGCCTCTTACGACCTGCCTGGTAGGGTGCGGTGTCACCACTGTTTGTTTTCCGAGAGGACCCTGTGACACACGGGCATCACTGGTGTGTGCTCAACCCATCAATAACTGAGTGCCTGTACAATCCAAATTTGAAGCCAGCTGGCTGTTGCTCCCTCCCCAGTGACAAACCTAATAAAGCGTGCAAGCTTAACCAAACAAACAGAAGCTCATACTCTTCACTGCTGAACCAACAATGTGCAACTGAAGAGTGATTCTGTGATCTATGGTACTCAGAATTACTGACTCTCAATGTTTCAACCTCTGTCACAAACAAAGATGCTGAGCCCAATCTAGCGAAGAAAGCAATCACAATGGAACACCTCAACAACATGTTTCCACAGGACAGCTGGACGAGAGTCTACACATATGATGGATCAGCAAAAGAAAGCAATAAAAGCACTGATGCTTTAGCCAAGGAAGGTAGCTGCAAACTACAAATCTACCAGCCATGATCTTTTCCAGAAGTTAAAACCCTCATTAGGAATAAATCAGAAGCAGATTGGAAAACAAACAGAGGTTCTAACAGGTCCTCAAACAAAGACCATCTGATGTACTCACAGTTTCTGTCCCTCCACACAAATAAAGACCATCTGATGTACTCACAGTTTCTGTCCCTCCACACAAATAAAGACCATCTGATGTACTCACAGTTTCTGTCCCTCCACACAAATAAAGACCATCTGATGTACTCACAGTTTCTGTCCCTCCACACAAATAAAGACCATCTGATGTACTCACAGTTTCTGCCCCTCCACACAAATAAAGACCATCTGATGTACTCAGTTTCTGTCCCTCCACACAAATAAAGACCATCTGATGTACTCACAGTTTCTGTCCCTCCACACAAATAAAGACCATCTGATGTACTCACAGTTTCTGTCCCTCCACACAAATAAAGACCATCTGATGTACTCACAGTTTCTGTCCCTCCACACAAACAAAGACCATCTGATGTACTCACAGTTTCTGTCCCTCCACACAAATAAAGACCATCTGATGTACTCACAGTTTCTGTCCCTCCACACAAATAAAGACCATCTGATGTACTCACAGTTTCTGCCCCTCCACACAAACAAAGACCATCTGATGTACTCACAGTTTCTGCCCCTCCACACAAACAAAGACCATCTGATGTACTCACTGTTTCTGTCCCTCCACACAAATAAATACCATGTGATGTACTCACAGTTTCTGTCCCTCTACACAAATAAAGACAATCTGATGTACTCACAGTTTCTGCCCCTCCACACAAATAAAGACCATCTGATGTACTCACAGTTTCTGTAACTCCACACAAATAAAGACCATCTGATGTACTCACAGTTTCTGTCCCTCCACACAAATAAAGAGCATCTGATGTACTCACAGTTTCTGCCCCTTCACACAAATAAAGACCATCTGATGTACTCACAGTTTCTGTAACTCCACACAAATAAAGACCATCTGATGTACTCACAGTTTCTGTCCCTCCACACAAACACCTCTGATATCAGGTAAAGGTTTAATAATCCAGTCAAGCAGCACAGTTGCCCTGTCGAGGTAATCAATGTTCTTTTCCTGCAACAGACACCACAATGTAGACATCAACTACTGTATACAGACACCACAATGTAGACATCAACTACTGTATACAGACACCACAATGTAGACATCAACTATTGTATACAGACATCACAATGTAGACATCAACTACTGTATACAGACACAATGTAGACATCAACTATTGTATACAGACACCACAATGTAGACATCAACTATTGTATACAGACACCACAATGTAGACATCAACTATTGTATACAGACACCACAATGTAGACATCAACTATTGTATACAGACACCACAATGTAGACATCAACTATTGTACACAGACACCACAATGTAGACATCAACTATTGTATACAGACATCACAATGTAGACATCAACTATTGTATACAGACATCACAATGTAGACATCAACTATTGTATACAGACACCACAATGTAGACATCAACTATTGTACACAGACACCACAATGTAGACATCAACTATTGTACACAATCATCACAATGTAGACATCAACTACTGTATACAGACATCACAATGTAGACATCAACTATTGTACACAATCATCACAATGTAGACATCAACTATTGTATACAGACATCACAATGTAGACATCAACTATTGTATACAGACACCACAATGTAGACATCAACTATTGTACACAATCATCACAATGTAGACATCAACTATTGTATACAGACACCACAATGTAGACATCAACTATTGTACACAATCATCACAATGTAGACATCAACTATTGTATACAGACACCACAATGTAGACATCAACTACTGTATACAGACACCACAATGTAGACATCAACTACTGTATACAGAAACCACAATGTAGACATCAACTATTGTATACAGACACCACAATGTAGACATCAACTATTGTATACAGACATCACAATGTAGACATCAACAATTGTATACAGACACCACAATGTAGACATCAACTATTGTACACAGACACCACAATGTAGACATCAACTACTGTATACAGACACCACAATGTAGACATCAACTATTGTATACAGACACCACAATGTAGACATCAACTATTGTATACAGACACCACAATGTAGACATCAACTATTGTGTACAGACATCACAATGTAGACATCAACTACTGTATACAGACATCACAATGTAGACATCAACTATTGTATACAGACATCACAATGTAGACATCAACTATTGTATACAGACACCACAATGTAGACATCAACTATTGTATACAGACACCACAATGTAGACATCAACTATTGTATACAGACATCACAATGTAGACATCAACTACTGTATACAGACACCACAATGTAGACATCAACTATTGTATACAGACACCACAATGTAGACATCAACTACTGTATACAGACACCACAATGTAGACATCAACTTTTGTACACAATCATCACAATGTAGACATCAACTATTGTATACAGACATCACAATGTAGACATCAACTATTGTATACAAACATCACAATGTAGACATCAACTATTGTATACAGACACAATGTAGACATCAACTATTGTATACAGACACAATGTAGACATCAACTATTGTATAAAGACATCACAATGTAGACATCAACTATTGTATACAGACACCACAATGTAGACATCAACTATTGTATACAGACATCACAATGTAGACATCACAATGTAGACATCAACTATTGTATACAGACACCACAATGTAGACATCAACTATTGTATACAGACACCACAATGTAGACATCAACTATTGTATACAGACACCACAATGTAGACATCAACTATTGTATACAATCATCACAATGTAGACATCAACTATTGTATACATACATCACAATCTAGACATCAACTATTGTACACAATCATCACAATCTAGACATCAACTATTGTACACAATCATCACAATGTAGACATTAACTATTGTATACAGACATCACAATGTAGACATCAACTACTGTATACAGACACCACAATGTAGACATCAACTATTGTATACAGACATCACAATGTAGACATCAACTATTGTATACAGACATCACAATGTAGACATCAACTACTGTATACAGACACCACAATGTAGACATCAACTATTGTATACAGACATCACAATGTAGACATCAACTACTGTATACAGACACCACAATGTAGACATCAACTACTGTATACAGACACCACAATGTAGACATCAACTACTGTATACAGACACCACAATGTAGACATCAACTATTGTATACAGACACCACAATGTAGACATCAACTATTGTATATAGACATCACAATGTAGACATCAACTATTGTATACAGACATCACAATGTAGACATCAACTATAGTATACAGACACCACAATGTAGACATCAACTATTGTATACAGACACCACAATGTAGACATCAACTACTGTATACAGACACCACAATGTAGACATCAACTATTGTATACAGACACCACAATGTAGACATCAACTACTGTATACAGACACCACAATGTAGACATCAACTACTGTATACAGACACCACAATGTAGACATCAACTATTGTATACAGACACCACAATGTAGACATCAACTATTGTATACAGACACCACAATGTAGACATCAACTATTGTATACAGACACTACAATGTAGACATCAACTATTGTACACAATCATCACAATGTAGACATCAACTATTGTATACAGACATCACAATGTAGACATCAACTATTGTATACAGACACCACAATGTAGACATCAACTACTGTATACAGACACCACAATGTAGACATCAACTACTGTATACAGACACCACAATGTAGACATCAACTATTGTACACAATCATCACAATGTAGCCACCAACTACTGTACACAATCATCACAATGTAGCTACCAACTACTGTACACAATCATCACAATGTAGCCACCAACTACAGTACACAATCATCACAATGTAGCCACCAACTACTGTACACAATCATCACAATGTAGCCACAATACATCACAATGTAGCCACCAACTACTGTACACAATCATCACAATGTAGCCACCAACTACTGTACACAATCATCACAATGTAGCCACCAACTACTGTACACAATCATCACAATGTAGCCACCAACTACAGTACATAATCATCACAATGTAGCCACCAACTATAGTACACAATCATCACAATGTAGCCACCAACTACTGTACACAATCATCACAATGTAGCCACCAACTACAGTACACAATCATCACAATGTAGCCACCAACTACAGTACAGACATCATAATGTAGCCATCAACTCTACAGTGCAAAGATATCATAATGTAGCCAACAACTAACTACTGTACAGATATCACAATGTAGCCAACAACTAACTATTGTACAGATATCACAATCTAGCCAACAACTAACTACTGTACAGATATCACAATGTAGCCAACAACTAACTATTGTACAGATATCACAATCTAGCAAACAACTAACTACTGTACAGATATCACAATGCAGCCATCAACTACAGTACAGATATCACAATGTAGCCAACAACTAACTGCAGCACAGATATCACAATCTAGCCAACAACTAACTACTGTACAGATATCACAATGTAGCCAACAACTAACTACTGTACAGATATCACAATGTAGCCAACAACTAACTGCTGTACAGATATCACAATCTAGCCAACAAATAACTACTGCACAGATATAACAATCTAGCCAACAACTAACTATTGTACAGATATCACAATCTAGCCAACAACTAACTACTGTACAGATATCACAATGTAGCCAACAACTAACTACTGTACAGATATTACAATGTAGCCATCAACTACAGTACAGATATCACAATGTAGCCAACAACTACTGTACAGATACCACAATGTAGCCAACAACTAACTATTGAACAGATATCACAATGTAGCCAACAACTAACTACTGTACAGATATCACAATGTAGCCAACAACTAACTACTGTACAGATATCACAATGTAGCCATCAACTACAGTACAGATATCACAATGTAGCCAACAACTACTACTGTACAGATGTAGCCAACAACTAACTACTGTACAGATATCACAATGTAGCCATCAACTACAGTACAGATATCACAATGTAGCCAACAACTACTGTACAGATACCACAATGTAGCCAACAACTAACTATTGAACAGATACCATAATGTAGCCATCAACTAACTACTGTACTGATATCACAATGTAGCCATCAACTAACTACTGTACAGATATCACAATGTAGCCATCAACTAACTACTGTACAGATATCACAATGTAGCCATCAACTAACTACTGTACAGATATCACAATGTAGCCATCAACTAACTACTGTACAGATATCACAATGTAGCCATCAACTAGCCATCAAATGTAGCCATCACTACTGTACAGATATCACAATGTAGCCATCAACTAACTACTGTACAGATATCACAATGTAGCCATCAACTAAATACTGTACAGATATCACAATGTAGACATAAACTAACTACTGTACAGATATCACAATGTAGCCATCAACTAACTACTGTACAGATACCATAATGTAGCCAACAACTAACTACTGTACAGATATCACAATGTAGCCATCAACTAACTACTGTACAAATATCACAATGTAGCCATCAACTAACTACTGTACAGATATCACAATGTAGCCATCAACTACAGTACAGATATCACAATGTAGCCAACAACTACAGTACAGATATCACAATGTAGCCAACAACTACAGTACAGATATCACAATGTAGCCATCAACTAACTACAGTACAGATATCACAATATAGCCATCAACTACAGTACAGATATCACAATGTAGCCAACAACTAACTATTGAACAGATATCACAATGTAGCCAACAACTAACTACTGTACAGATATCACAATGTAGCCATCAACTACAGTACAGATATCACAATGAAGCCAACAACTAACTACTGTACAGATATCACAATGTAGCCATCAACTACAGTACAGATATCACAATGAAGCCAACAACTACTGTACAGATATCACAATGTAGCCATCAACTACTGTACAGATATCACAATGTAGCAAACAACTACTGTACAGATACCACAATGTAGCCAACAACTAACTACTGTACAGATATCACAATCTAGCCAACAACTAACTACTGTACAGATATCACAATGTAGCAAACAACTACTGTACAGATACCACAATGTAGCCATCAACTACAGTACAGATATCACAATGTAGCCAACAACTAACTACTGTACAGATATCACAATCTAGCCAACAACTAACTACAGTACAGATATCACAATGTAGCCAAACAACTAAGATATCACAATGTACTGTACAGTACAGATATCACAATGTAGCAAACAACTACTGTACAGATACCACAATGTAGCCAACAACTAACTACTGTACAGATATCACAATCTAGCCAACAACTAACTACAGTACAGATATCACAATGTAGCCAACAACTAACTACTGTACAGATATCACAATGTAGCCAACAACTAACTACTGTACAGATATCACAATGTAGCCAACAACTAACTACTGTACAGATATCACAATGTAGCCAACAACAACTGTACATATATCACAATGTAGCCAACAACTAACTACTGTACATATATCACAATGTAGCCATCAATTAACTACTGTAAATATTTTACAATGCAGCCATCAACTACAGTGCACAGATATCAAGTGTTCAGCACAGTTTTGGCTGTATATTTTGTGTGTTATGTCCTGTGACCTTACACCCCCGCCTAGTCTACCTGACCTCGGTTGGTTACTTCTTTACTGTCTGGTTGCATATAGTAACAAACTTCATTGAACAGCAGTGTTATCTATTCTTATATGTAACCGTATAATTGCCTATGTGTGTTGTATGCGGAGGAAGGCTTGCTGGCTTCCGTGTCCATGTTGTCATGTAGGACTGTAGTTAACGAGAAGCTGACCAGTTCCACTCCTGGCTCTGACTGAGCAGTGTCTTGACAATCTGTCGAGAGAAATGTTGTTACACATGGACTCGTGGATCTGCGACCATCACTGGCAGCGAGAACATATGTCTGTGATATAAGGACATAAGAGTGTATGGGCATTTACAGCTCGCGCTTTAGGCAGAATAGTTCAGGAAGCCAGCGGTGCCTTCTACATGACCACCAGCAGCATGACGATGGAGGTGATGGCGGTGACACAGGCTTTCATGTGACTGGGATCACAGGACTATTCCCGCATGTGTGTGCTGAGTGATTCTTTGAGCATGATCGGGCGGGTCGAGGAAGGCTGATTACGCAGATGGATGCGTCGGGAGTGCTGTGAAGATAATGTAACTCATAACTCGAGAACATGATACAATTTCAAGACATCTGCCCAGTTATATCTTCTTCTTCTTCTTCATGGTAACCAGCTGTTCAGGCTGTTCTGCCACTTCCAGACTTTAGACTTGTTACAGAACCTGAGTTCTGTGGCTCATCTGTTGGTTCTTTGTCTCTCAAGCAGATGCACTCCAACTCTGAAAGAAACTCTTAATTAGCTGCCTTAACAAATACTTGTTAGAAAGGCAGTGGGTCTATTTCTGTTTTCTCCCCACAAGAGCACCCAGAAGCCACAGAGAGAGGATCATTATATGAGAACAAATTAAATATATTGAAACAGCCAAAATCTTTCAGGCACAAACTCAGAAACCCCTGGAAAACTGTTCTTTCATTACCGGTTGTAGATTTCTATGGCCATCCATCTTTGGAGAAACCTTGACTCTTGTCTTGGCTGCAGAGGGTGTTTTTCTTATGACTGATGAGGGTGTAGTCCTCCTGGCCGAAGAGGGTGTTTTTCTCCTGGCTGATGAGGGTGTTTTTCTCAAGGGCTTCTGTGTCTGATGGCTTGAATGGGGCTCTCCTGGGACAGTCCTGTGTCTGGCCCTGGTCCCCGTCTGGGTGGAATCTGTAGATGATGATAAAAGAAACTGGTCATCTTCACCACAGATCCACGCACTAATACGACCATCTATACACAGAGAATTATGATAGTTACCTACCATTTACACACATAACTGTGAGAGCTACCTACTATCTACACACACACACACAAGCAGTAGTGAGAGCGACTTACTATCTACACGCATACAAAGACATGCATGCACATGCACGCACACATACACACAGAGATAACTATGCCAGATACCTAACATGCAGAGAGATGAGACTTTCAGAGGTTGTGTTAGAATCCTGGTACCCACGCACACACAGACAACTGAGTCAGCTACCTACCATGCAGACCGATGTGACTGTCAGATGCTGGGCTAGCCTCCTGACACTGAATGGGGTCACTGTTGTGTTGCCCTCTCCCACCTCTGAAACAGAAATGTCACCAATTACACTGAGACCCAACAGTTGACCTGATTCACAAGCAGAATATATGGCTACACATTAAACTGAGACCCAACAGTTAACCTAATTCACAAACAGAATCTATGACCACATATCACACTGAGACCAAACAGTTTACCTAATTCACAAACAGAATCTATGGCTACATATCACACTGAGACCAAACAGTTTACCTAATTCACAAACAGAATCTATGACCACATATCACACTGAGACCAAACAGTTTACCTAATTCACAAACAGAATCTATGGCTACATATCACACTGAGACCAAACAGTTTACCTAATTCACAAACAGAATCTATGGCTACATATCACACTGAGACCAAACAGTTGACCTGATTCACAAGCAGAATATATGGCTACACATTAAACTGAGACCCAACAGTTAACCTAATTCACAAACAGAATCTATGGCTACATATCACACTGAGACCAAACAGTTTACCTAATTCACAAACAGAATCTATGGCTACATATCACACTGAGACCCAACAGTTGACCTGATTCACAAGCAGAATATATGGCTACACATTAAACTGAGACCCAACAGTTAACCTAATTCACAAACAGAATCTATGGCTACATATCACACTGAGACCAAACAGTTTACCTAATTCACAAACAGAATCTATGGCTACAGATCACACTGAGACCAAACAGTTGACCTGATTCACAAGCAGAATATATGGCTACACATTAAACTGAGACCAAACAGTTAACCTAATTCACAAACAGAATCTATGACCACATATCACACTGAGACCAAACAGTTAACCTGATTCACAAACAGAATCTATGGCTACATATCACACTGAGACCAAACAGTTTACCTAATTCACAAACAGAATCTATGGCTACAGATCACACTGAGACCAAAACAGTTTACCTAATTCACAAACAGAATCTATGGCTACATATCACACTGAGACCAAACAGTTTACCTAATTCACAAACAGAATCTATGGCTACATATCACACTGAGACCAAACAATTTACCTAATTCACAAACAGAATCTATGGCTACATATCACACTGAGACCAAACAGTTTACCTAATTCACAAACAGAATCTATGGCTACATATCACACTGAGACCAAACAATTTACCTAATTCACAAACAGAATCTATGGCTACATATCACACTGAGACCCAAACAGTTTACCTAATTCACAAACAGAATCTATGGCTACAGATCACAGAGACCAAACAGTTTACCTAACTCACAAACAGAATCTATGGCTACATATTACAATAAAACCAAACAGTTTACCTGATTCACAAACAGAATCTATGACCATATATCACACTGAGACCAAACAGTTTACCTAATTCACAAACAGAATCTATGGCTACATATCACACTGAGACCAAACAATTTACCTAATTCACAAACAGAATCTATGGCTACATATCACACTGAGACCCAAACAGTTTACCTAATTCACAAACAGAATCTATGGCTACAGATCACAGAGACCAAACAGTTTACCTAACTCACAAACAGAATCTATGGCTACATATTACAATAAAACCAAACAGTTCACCTGATTCACAAACGCAATCTATGACCATCAAACATGTGCCTCTTGTCTCTAGACAAGTTCTCTTGTTCGCAGGTGCAAACGATAACAGTGCTATTCACTCATGAACATGCCATTAAAGTGATTCTCTCAGGGAAATCGAAGCAACTGGAAGTGCCAGTTTTGCGGCTTCACTCAGCAACAGGGTTACAAATAAGCAGACAGAGTCAAGGGGATAAGAAGACACGCTGACAGAATAATCTTGACAGGCATTTCAATGACAATATTTAACATGACAGTGCATGCACTAGCCAAGGTCTAAATAATGAACACATGCTTACCTGACACTGATGGACATGACAGAGAGCCGACCACATACCTGACAGAGAGGCGACCACATGCCTGACATGGATGAACATGACTGTCGCGAGACGCCGCTTCAAGTAGACAAGATACTTTTGGCTGACGTACCACCCCTTTGTGACCCTTCTATTTTTCCCTCTTACATGCGCCCAGTGACTTCATTTTCGTCATAAGACGCATTGAGAGATATCCCGGTTATAGCCTACGGTTGCTGTTTGGGGATTTTCCATTGTCCTACTTGTAATTCCCCTGAGCTTTCACGTATAAAAATATACGGCTAGTAACTCGGCAACGTAGCGGGGAAAACCCTGGCCAACACCGGAAATCCCGCAGTGAGACAAGATTGCCAGCCATTTTACTTCAGGTCAGCAAGCAGGTGTTAGAGCGGGCCGTTTTGGCAGAACTTTGTCTTTCTCGCCGCCTAAAAACCCTAGCAACATGACCATATAGTTACATCTAAATCCAGGTGAGCACAGTAACCGTTAATTAAATCGTGATTTCAGTTTTCGGGCCGCATTTCGTGTACAATATTAGAATTGTACCAGACAGAGGAAAAACCACGCTGACCCATTTCTGCACATGGACAGGAAACCATTTCTTTATGATCTATTCCTGATTCCTATTGTTCGGTATCTAGGAGGTTACTTCTGTTTGCTGTATCTAAGACTCTTAAGAAATTATCTATCTTCTATTGCTGGTAGATGAATGATCTATGGCTGGTTATCAGAGTTTGTGTAGATAATGGTAACATTTCAGTGGTAACATTTCATAGGAGACATTGTTCTTCTCATGCTCATACTTCTATAATTCATAATGTTTGCTTGTTGTAGAAGTGCTGAATTTTGTTTTCAGGTTATTGATGTATTATTCATGATGTTATTAATGTATCATTTTACTTATACACAGCAGTATTAAATGCTGTGATTTTGAGGACATGCTGTCCAAGAAAACACCCAGTGGAATATCTGGAAGACAGGAAAGGCAAGCCCTTTTATCTAGAATTCTCAATATTTATAGAGAGAATTCTATAGCATTCTGTCTGATTTTGTGTTGCATTTATAACTGCATATTGCTGTTTGAGTCTGTGTAAATGAGTGGTATTACACTATCATCCTGAAGGACAGAAGATGGAAGACATTCATCTGGACTGGACAGTAGTCAGAAGTGGAAGCTATGTAAATGACAATGCTACTAGACTATTATCCCACTTCTGACAATATGAAGAGAGAGGGGAAAGTTGGGAATATATTTTATTTTGCAAAACAGCAGGGACTATATATTTTTTGATTGTTTCCATCCCTAGCTGCTGAAAAGCCGAGGACAGATTCCTTGTGGCAGGACGAGCTTCCAAACCACTGCCAGGCTGGTTGTAGCTAATGATTGGAGTGCCCTAAGGAAGATCTTGGTGCTTGGGACAGACCCTCAACATTCCACCTCAGTCTTTGAAATGGATGATCCTCTGGGAAACTCCAGGTGGTAATTGTTGTATGTTATTTCCCACTGATCCTCTCATGACGACAGTTTCATGTTACTATCATTTTTATCTTTCATCCTACTTAGTTTGAATAATGTATTTTCAAAAGTAAATAGATGATTGAATTTTACTTTAATTTTAATAAACATTCCTATGATTGATTTAAACTCATAGTTAAAGTTTATTTCTATTTCTAGATGTATGTATGGTGTCAGTGCTGTCTACCAATATACATAGTCTAGATGGGGGCTTAATTTTATTACCAGAAAGGGAAATTGTCGGGAGGGGTAATCTGCTCTGTCTAAGTGTTTAGGCATCTAAATTCCCTTATCCCTTTTCTGGGGATATTCAGGCAGCTCACCTTCTTTCGCGAGCCAATTCGAGTCTGTATCTGAGTATCCAGGGACACTGTCTGCTCTTTGCGCCAAAAGACAGTTGTCTCGGTTTCTAACAAGATAACACCACTTTAGTGAGTGTAAAAGGAACCTGTTCCACGACAAGTGAGGCGCTCTCCGGAATAATAATCTGAGGCCACACAAGTGTGTCTGCGCCTGTTATTTAAAACCCGGGAAACCCTAGACGATTGAAATTTTATTTCATAAATTTTTTTAAATACTAAAAAAAACTTTTACATTCCCTAGATTACAGGCACCATTATTTTTTATAATAGTGACTTACATAATTAGGGTTTGGAGAGTGACGGTATTAACTCTTAAGTAAATGATAGTAAAAAATATGAACTGTTTATACTTACCTTAATTAGTGTAATAACACAATTAGGAAGTAGTCTGCGAAATTTTTTTTTCCCAATCTTGACTGCTTTATCATTTGATATTGATTGTAAATCATTTTTATGTTGACATTCTATCATTTGACATAATTGTTAAGTTTATTTAATGTGTCATTGATTGCTGTGCAGTAATGTTTGATTACTTGCATTATTTTCAGTAACGTTCACCTTACTGCTGTGGTCAGTTTTCCTTTTTTTCTATTCTATCACCCAATCCTTTAACTATAAATACTCTTCTGGTTAGTCCTGCATGTGATCAGTTTCTCTTGCTTTGTAAATGAACAATATAGACATTATGGACCGCCGGTCCAGGTTCTTAGAAAATGCAAGGATTTTTGGTGCACAAAGGGGCTATAGAGGACAAGAGTTAACAACGTTCATACAACGCGAACAGGAAGAATGGGACTCGATGATTGCTCGTCATGCAGCGGAGAGGGAAGAAGAAGAGAGAATGCGGCAACTTGAAGAAGAAGAAGATGCTAGACAGTTGCAACTCCAAGAGGATGCAGCTGTCAAAAGAATGAAGCTTCTTCAAGAAAAGCTGCATAACTATCGACTACTTAGGCAGACAAAGAAGAGAGAACTGCAGTTAGACACAGGGAACGGTGAGAACAACATCCAGGTAGTTGAGGGAACTGACAACTCCCATACTGACACTCTGGTAGAAAGGTCAGGGACTCACTCTCTCAATGGAGAGGTGTGTACTATTGCGCCAAATGGTACCTCATCAAATGATGAAGTAATAGACCACCCAAGACCTTGCCTCACCTCTCTTATTCCTTATAGGAAAAGAGTGGACATCAAGAATTCTTT